TGCCGGTCGTGGGCTGCGGAAAGACATGGACCGATTTTGTGAATGTCGTGCCGTACCTTGTCGCGGAGTTTTCAAGATTTACTAGTGATGTAAATGTGTATTAAACGTAAAATTACAGCCTCGTTCGCGGTGTATACGTAGGCGTGTCACGGGAGTGGGTTCGGCGTGGCGCCAGCCAGCTTCACACTAATGCTGGTCGGTTGCCACTTCCCCAACTAGTGGAGAGCGGCTGCCGCTGCGCCAAGCCGAAGCGAGCCCCTCCCCTTCCCCAGCATGGGCAGCGAGCAATACCTTGAGTGACTCACTCGTTTCACTATACATCGCATCTACTGTTTTCACGGGACAACGAAGTTATATGAAAACAGCCTTTAATATATGTACCAAGATGCGAAGCTGCAGTAGCGGGGGAATAAACTTCGAACAAGACAAGAAGTGACATTCACAACATTTTTACTCATTTGTATCTTCTCAATCAACAGCCAGAATTCCGACTGCAACCGAAATGAACGTATGACTATCACAAACGATTTCGTCAAGTACGGCTCTCAATAACCCTCAGAATAGATGTAGTACTGTGAATTTTCTTTTATGGACTCTCGCGAAATCGATAAACCACTTGATTGGCTAACGCACGTTTCGGCTAAACTGCCTTCGCCAAAGGATCGAAACGATTTGTGACTACCCGATCAAATGTCTCTGCAGTCCTAATGAAATTCAACCCCATAACAGGTTCACTCTGTGGCGAGAGAGATCGCTCACCGTAACTCAGTGCGATCGAAACCATAAAAACTGGCTGTTGAACCAAGTCGGGCTGTTGTCTCACAGACCTCCGTGGAAGGTCAGCCTTATATAAAGTCTCAGTTTCCGCATATTGGGGCACTCCCCCCTTCATTTTGGATCAATGACTTGCATCCAAAATGTCTCTAGGATTTTCGCGGAGGGGGATGGGTGTGCCTCTCTGTCAAGACCTCAGCGGCGACCCCGAAATCTTCTCTGTTATGGATTTGAACTTGGTTGGCTCCCAAGGCACAATCGTGACCTACTATGGCCATCCAGATGCTCTTTCAACCTCGCGAAGCCTTTCCACCAAGTGGTAGGAGTCTAAGCAAGAACAACATCGTCCACGTCAGTCAGTCAACCCTCTTCAAATAAGATGCGCTGTTGTTAGGACCATTTTTCGAACAGCAGCACATGTTGAGGAGCGGAAGCACGCCTTGAACCTGGTACGCTACGTAGTTGTGAGACCAAGGTTCAAAGTGGCTGTGAGACCTCTTCAACCTCTTACGACGCCGTAAGTGGTACGGCAAACAGCAGACGCGGTGGTAGCTTAATGAGCGGCTAAATTCCCTTCATGTTACTCGTCTCAGATTAGGTGAGCGCTTCTGTCAAGAGGAGTCCGAAAAGGTCAGGTTCGGAACATAGTAGCCATCGTGAATGTACCACCCAGTAACCTAAAGCACCGCATGATGAGAATCGCACCGACTATGTACAACCCCGACTGTGTGGTCTGCCAGACCGGCAAATAGGGTGATTGTACAATGTCAGGGGTGGTCTGCAAGATCGTAGCTGTGGAGACCGAGTGGTACAGGAGGCCCAACTACGAGAACATCATCGTCCACTGAAGTCAGTCCACCTTCTCCAGATCAAATGCGCTGTTGTCAGGAAGATGTCGATGTGCACGGTATGTGCTGAAGAATAAATGAAAAATAAACAATATATCAGCGAGACAGCTCGTCCTGTTTGAGAGTGAAAGAGCATCTGGATGGCAAGAACACGTCATTGTCTACTGCCTTGGGAGACGACCGAGTTCAAACGCATGACGAGAAGATTCGGGGTCGTGGTTGAGGTTTTGGTGCGAGAGGCACAAACCTCCGCAAGAAAACCCTCGAGTCATTTCGGATCCAGGTCATTGATCCAAAAATAAACCGGATGGAAGTGGTACACTATCAACGCGGTCTCGTATAAGGCTGGTCTTCCATGGAGGCCCTGAGTGAACGACGGCCCGACTTGGTTCAACACCCAGCTTCCCATTGATCTCTAGGATGGGTGAGTGGTCATTCTCGTGAATATGTGACGACCTAACTTGGGCTCGAATTTTAGTAAGACTGCAGAGACATTTGATCGCATAGTCATAAATCGTTCCGATCCTTTCATGCTCTGATGAAGGCGGTTTCACGAAACGTTTGAAAATTTCAATCGCGGAATGTGCCTTGGTACAGTGAACAAAAAAATGAAAGTTCATGAGATCACACATAAACAACATCAGAACAATTCCCCTTGGACATAATCCGCGATCACTTGAGATGTGGAAGCTTTTCCATTTATACCATTTTCAAACCAAATCGGACACTTTTCAAACCAAATCGGACACTTTTCAAACCAAATCGGACACTTTTCAAACCAAATCGGACACTTTTCAAACCAAATCGGACACTTTTCAAATCAAATCGGACACACCCCTACCAAGGGCAGTTGATAACTAGACCACACTAGGTACTGCTGCAAGCCCCGCCCCAACACCCCGCCCACCTTTCCAGCGCGGTCACGGTTTTCCAAAATGTTTTATGAAATCTGCTTCTTCGACTTTTTCTCACTTTTGCTAGTTGCACACACTTCAACTGAAAAGGATTGGTACCGATACAGATCTGACTCCGCCCACTTCACAATCAAGTGATGTAAGTTCTGAATTTTTATAACTTCTTTCGACGTCGGTTTTTTCACATTCAATCTTCACAAAACGAATATAGCCATGCATTTACACACTAGCACACTAGCCCCGCCCCTCTGACCACGCCCACTTTCGTTTTCGCGGAATTTTGATTTTTCTTCCGAATTTTCACTTTTTAGGCTGTGACAAGCGGCCCCGCCCACTAATGGAAGCTCCGCCCACTTTGTAGAAGCCCCGCCCACTTTTCAAAAATGATGCAGATCGGCGAGCTAGTGACCGTACTAGCAGGTTATGGCCTCTCCCGTCACATAGAATGAAAAAAAGGGAAAGACCACAAAAAAGGGAAACTTTGTTCCGGGTGACGGGAGAGGCCATAACCTGCTAGTACGGTCACTAGCTCGCCGATCTGCATCATTTTTGAAAAGTGGGCGGGCTTCTACAAAGTGGGCGGAGCTTCCATTAGTGGGCGGGGCCGCTTGTCACAGCCTAAAAAAGTGAAAATTCGGAAGAAAAATCAAAATTCCGCGAAAAACGAAAGTGGGCGTGGTCAGAGGGGCGGGCCCTAGTGTGCTAGTGTGTAAAAGCATGGCTATATTCGTTTTGTGAAGATTGAATGTGAAAAACCGACGTCGAAAGAAGTTATAAAAATTCAGAACTTACATCACTTGATTGTGAAGTGGGCGGAGTCAGATCTGTATCGGTACCATCCCTTTTCAGTTGAAGTGTGTGTGCAACTAGCAAAAGTGAGAAAAGTCGAAGAAGCAGATTTCATAAAACATTTTGGAAAACCGTGACCGCGCTGGAAAGGTGGGCGGGGTGTTGGGGCGGGGCTTGCAGCAGTACCTAGTGTGGTCTAGTTATCAACTGCCTATTGTAAGAGGTGTGTCCGATTTGATTTGAAAAGTGTCCGATTTGATTTGAAAAGTGTCCGATTTGGTTTGAAAAGTGTCCGATTCAAAGTGAAAATGGTATATAAGGAGCGCTGAGCCTAAGCCGAAAAAGGAGTGTCATTCCGGCTCTCCAAAAGGACGACAAA